TGGTTCTTATTTTTTTTTTTAAAAACGTAGTCTTTTTTCCTATTCAAAACCTAATCAATTTAACCTGTGGTCTGTCAAAAAGTGGTCAGGCTGAAACCTGACCAACCGTACTGGTGGCTACGGCCCTGGGGGTGTGTGCTGATGAAATGATAGTCCACGCAACGTCAACGCCACCGTGGTTTGCGGTGACGCGAAAATTTCAGTATTTTATACCTTTGGAGATCCGGAAATAAAACTTAAATTACCGTTTAATTCTTTTTATTTTTTATTACGAATTCAGTAAAAAAAAACTCGACTTCATTAATGGCACTTTATTCAAATCCTGAGAGTGCCATTTCCGGTCATCTAGAGGCGACGTAATCTTAATTTTTCCTACCTCAGCCCCAACCACGGTGGGGCTGAGGTGTTTATCTCTGAAGGTCCCTCTCTGGGCACCCTCTATTTCGAATTTTTGGATCCATCACTTTAAGGACCACCACATCTGATTCTGAGCAAAGGTCAGGGAAAATCCTGGATCCGCGGCTGATTACCGTTTCTTCCTGATACAAAATTGCTTTAGATCAAACGGTGAAGTAAATGCATTTCTTTTGCTTAAGTAGTACTTTATCTCCTACTTTTAGACAACTTTTCTTTACAACTTGTATTAAGTTTTCTATCTTCATATTCTTTCATCTTCTATTTATTCTCTGATTCGACTTCACGAATCTCATCGTCATTTCTAGCTATAGTAAGGCTATTTCTGGTAAGTGAGTTAAAATTTTTCGCCTATTCGGAAGTTCCATTGGAGATATCTGTGTTGTAGTGTGTTTTTAGTAGCGTTGTTCTGTATTGTAAGTATTCGTACAAAGATTATTGTGTGTTTCGGCGTTCGATTCTTGCTGTTAGGAGAGTATTTTCTTTTAAAGTTTGACATGAACCGTTCTACTTCCGCGTTTGCGCGTGGCCACAATGGAATTATGCGTTATGCATAAACCTGTGATATTCTACGTATTGTCGAAATTCGGTGCTCGTAAATGGCGGACCGTTATCTGTCTGGAATTCATTGTCGTGCTAGTATGGCATCAAGTTTTGGCAACACTGCTTGTGCTGACGTACAATTTCGACTTCTGGACTATATAAATAGTAGAAGACCAAAATATATTTTCCATTTGGTAATGGCCCATTAGAACTTCCTTCCAAGGTGCTTTTGGCATGCTTATCATTTTAAAGGGTTCAGTGCGTTCTGCGTTTTGTGCATTCGATGCTTGACATGCGACACATTCTTTCATCTTTTCTGTGACTAATTTATTTATCCCTGGAAACCAAACCTTTTCTCGTATAAACGCCTTCGTCTTCACAATGCCTTGGTGACTAGCGTGTGCGATTTCTACCACTTTCACGTAATGATTTTGGTATGACAGTACAGTATGTCCTCTGAGTATGATGTTGTCAGTTACTGTTAGTTCATCTTTTAAATGCCTAAATTCGCGAAGTTCAGCTTTATTCCACAACGTATGATTATTCTGTTCAATTGCCTATTTCAATTTTTGTAGTTGGCTATCGACAGTGCTTCCAGCCTCAATGTCACTCTTTTTCATCGCTTTTGGTATAATCGCGTTGCGTACGATATAATTATCGTGCTCAACAGTTTGCTGTTCTTCATCGGCGTCTTGTGTCGTCTTGTTTGGGTGTCAACTTAAGTAGTCAGCCGGGTTGTCGTGTCCAGGTCGATATTCCAACTCGTAATTATACGACATTAATCTTAACCTTCAGCGTTCAATTCCTGTGCTCATTGGCTTGTTATGGTTGAATATGTTAAGTAATGGTTTATGGTCAGTCATTATCTTAAATCTTGCTCCATATAAATACATATAAAAATTTTCAGGACTGAAAACAACAGCTAAATTTTCCGCTCCGTTTGCTACACCGGTTAATGATCTGCTTTGCTTATCATGTAACCTTGCCATCTTGTCACAGCATAGCGGCTAATCCTGTTGGGCTTCCATCTACCAACACCTACGAGTCTTTTTGAATGTCGAAGTATGTCCTCACTGTGGGGCTGATGAAGGCGGCTCTAGGTTTAATAAAGGCCTGTTCTTGGGTGTCTGTCCATTTGAAATAAATATTCTTTCGCGTCAATTCACGATGTTGTCAGTGATGCATAATCAGGAATAAATATCGCCAAGTATTGCGTAAGTTCAAGGAAAGATCGAAATTCACTTGTATTTTGTTGGTCTTGGATCTTTTTAAATGTCTTCAACTTTCATCGGATCAATCCCCAAGCATTACTATTGAAAATATGACCATAGAAATTAACGTCATGTGTTCTGAACACACATTTTTATTTGTTAAGCGTAACCCCGTGCTGATGTAGTCGCTCTAAGGTGGATTTCAATTTTTCATCGTGCTCTCGTTCATTTCGTCCAAACACAATAATGTCGTCTGAGATGGTTTTTATAGCCTTTAAGCCTGTACAATATTTTTCCTACTTCAGCTGAGAAAATTTCTGATGCTGCATTGGCACAATATATCAACCTTTTATATCTATATAAACCAGAATGAGTAGTAAATGTAGTAAGAAATCTAGAGGTCACTTACTATGTCATCCAATTTGGGATTGGGTGACGTTCTCTGAGAATCGCCTTATTAACCTGTCTCATATCAACACAGATTCTTATAGATCCATTCCCTTTTGGTACAACGACGATTAGCCTTACCCGGGGTGTCGGGCCTTCCACCTTTTCGATTATATCCAACTCATCAATCTAACTCTTTATCTACATCTTTTCTTTATGTGAAATGGAATCCTTCTGTGTTTTTGCTGTTTGGGCTTTACATTTTGATCGACTTGTAGTCGACCAATTCCGTCAAAAAATGGATACTTGTCAAAAATACATATCAGAAACATTTGTTTCATTATTTTTATGAATTATATTATTGTTACAGGTCATCTTCAAGTTAACCAGGTTAAGCTTTTTCGCTGATATCCGTGAAAGTATGTTACCAACATTGCCATCAACAATGTAAACATCATCGTCACATTTTACTTAATTTTCTGCATGAATTGTTTCTTTAAAATCACCTCTAGTTTTCAATGGTTCGTCACTACCTGGAAACAGTGAAATTAACAGTAACAGTAATTTTACTGTTCCCTCGTCACTACGAAACCCATAAATTTTAACATGTGTTTTCTGAAGCATTGGCTTTTCTTGAAGTTATCACATACTTCACTTACCATAATGTTAACAGAGGCACCAGTGTCTATAATGAATCTGACAAACTCATCATCAACTCCAGTTGTACTACTGGGGAGTTTACTTTCTGGGATACAAAATACATACTCATTCTCATACCTCCTCCATGCTCATACAATGCATTAAAACGATTAAAACCTACGTGTTCAACGCACTCGTAATACAACGATCTCGCCGGGGCGAATGACACGCCTCACTGATTCCTATACCTTACAATGCAAAATACAACTTGTATCTGATTGGAATTTTTTCTTTAGGTCATAAGTGACGGAGGAAGAAATTGACCAATCATTCTTGTTAAGAAGTGAGTACGAAGGTTGGTTCAACAGTTTCAATCAATATTTAATGTTCAAAGGGAAACGTAAACAATGATCATAATCAATGTAATTCCTGAGTACAGGTTAACAATCAGGATTTATGGTAAACACTGTACTGGCTATACAGGTCGTAGTTACAGTAGCACATTGGCGGTACGATGGTTGATAATAAAATATCAGATGCTGGTAGATATGGTTACTAAGATGTGATGCTGATGCTGCTGCTGATGATAATGATGATGATGATGATGATGATGATGATGATGATGATGATGATGAGGATGATGGTTTCTTTTCATTAACTCATCAATTTTGGTAGTGGTTGTCGGAAGTTTCTGTCATCACAACAAGTTTGAGTGCGTACAACATAAATCATTAACAAGAAAATTACTGGCAGTTCGTAACAGCCGCCCCCAAATTTGGAACAAATTTGTCTTTCAACGAACTGAATTAATCCTAATAATTACAATCTAACAACTATTTAACATAATCCAACGTTATCTAATTGTGCCTCATTTAGGTTAACACCAAGCTACTTTGAAAAGTTTATGTCAACTCTGGTAATATAATAAGTTTAATCACTGGTCGGACATATGTCTTTCCGGCTACCTCCACTTCTGCGGTGCGCACTCTTCCATCTACGCTAGGTTTAACTACTGTGATTCTACCCACAGGCCATAGACCACGGGGAAGTAGTTTGTCGACAATCATTTAATACACAATCGCCCTTTGCAAGGTTTTCTCTCTCTGCCATTTTTGTCGAAGTTGTAATCTGGGAAAATAGTAGTCGATAAAATGCTTCCAAAAGTGGTCCACCATAAGTTGACTTTGACGCCACCTTCTTTTAGTCAATATGTCGTTTTCGGAATAGAAAACTGAATCTGAACGCCCCCTTAGAAGTACATTCGGGGTGACTGGGTCTAAGTCTCTACCATCAGATGACACATATCACATTGGTTTTGAGTTTATGATACCCTCAATTTCCACGAGAATCGTATATAACACTGCTTTAGTCACTGTCTGATCTCCTATATTACGATGCAAGGCATCTTTGAAACTCATCACTTCACGCTCCTAGGCGCCTCTAAAGTGCGGAGCTGATGGAGGATTATAATGAAATTCACACTTGGTACGGTCGGAGTTGTGCTCGAAGATCTGCCGTCATCTGATGAAATGCCAGTTTTAGTTAGTCTTATGAATCGGCGAAAGGGCAGTAGGAATGCTTCTGCATCCATGCTATCGAGTAGTTCCATATGTATTGCTCCTACAGTCAAACACTTGTAAACAATGGCCCATTGTTTCTCTATGCGACGACCAAACTTTATCCGAATTTGCCCAAAACAGTCGACTCCTGTGGAATAAAAAAAACTGGTTTATTTAGACGTAATCTCTCTGGTGGCAAATTATTCATCTTTGGAACAACAGGCTTTGCTCTCCACTTTTGACAGGATTAACATTGACGCTGGATACCACGGATTACTTCTCGGCCGCGCAGGATCCATACTCGTCGTCTCAATTCAGCGAGAAGCCTTTCGGTTCCAGGATGATGAAGATTCTCATCAGTTTTCTTAATGATTAGCTTAATGATAGGGTGCTTTGGTTCTAAAATAACTGGAGTTTTCTGCTCCTGTAGTAGTTGCGCATTATTTAGTCGGCCACCTACACACATTAATCCGGTATCCTCATCGATGATAGGGTCCAACTGGTTAATTCGGGATGTACGATCCACATTCTTCCCACTCTTCAGTGCAGAAAGTTCCTCAGCAAAGGATTCCCTTTGGATGATAACCCAACCCTCTCTCTCGAGCATGTGCGGAGCCGCCCCATCTAACCTAGTCGATAGGTATGTCATTAATTCGTCATAAGTTCTGCAATCATTTATTTTAGATTGCTCAGCAACATCAACTATTCCGCAGAATGCTGTTTTACGGATCTCAGGAGAACAATCTGCAGAATCAGATAAATCCGGTATCTGAGGCCAGTTCTCCTTGGGCTGCACAAGATATGAGGGTCCGTATTTCCATAGTTGGTCATTAGCAAGATCTAACAATGGCTTCCCTCTTGTGTTGACGTAATGCTATGGACATTTTTCTGTTAACTGCAAAATCTCTGTGACTCTAGTGCCCACAAACACCTTGTAACGACAATTTTCGGAACACAGCCATTTTAGAATCACTCCACAAGTGCATCTCAGTTATCGTCAGGGTTAACTCGTTCTTAATGAACTCCAGAAGTTTAGCACCAACCAACGCTGCGCATAACTCAAGTCTAGGCATACTAAGTTCTTTCTTAGGAGCTACTTTAGACCTAGCCATCACAAAGTTTGTCCTGATTCCTCCATCACTTTCACCTCGAAGGTAGGCGACCGCCCCGTAAGCACGTTCAGATGAATCGCAAAATACATGTATGTGATGGGAAGTCATTTCCTGTGCCATATAACATCGTTGAATCTTAGTTGGTAGGTTAATTAGCTCCGTTTCCCATTGCCGCCAACGATCTCGTAAGTCCACTTCCGTAATCTCTGCATCCCAATCACGCCTCTCGGTGCGCCATCCAATATATCTTGCACCAGGATCTTCGCTCGGATTAAGAATGGCGTCAAGAACCCAAGTGGGTCATATTGACTGTGCGTAAGTTAAGTACACTATGAGGATTCGGTTTGTACATCAATGTATCTGTGAAGGTGTTCCATCCCATGCCGAGCATGGGCTCAGGAGAAGTGGAATCTTGTTTAAACTCACAAACACTGTTCTTTGACAGGATTTCTGGGGGTAAATCTTGCAGTGCCTCAGGCTCATTGCTGTTCCATTGTCGGATTAAGAACCCCGCTTCATTGAATAATGTCCTCATCTCTCTGATCAAATTTCGGGCCTCGTCGATTGATCTCATATTATCTAAACAGTTATCTACATAGAACGCTTCTAGCACCGACCGCTTAACTGCCGGAAATGCTTCACCCCTTTCATTCACAAGACTTTGGAGTGCATACGTGGCACAGCATGGGCTGCATGTGGAACCGAATATGAGTACTGACCATTGTTAGATAGTCGAATTCAGACTTTCATCACAATTCCTCCAAATAAATCTGAGTAACGGTTGGTCTTGGGGACGAAGGTGCACCTGATGGTACATAGCCTTTATATCGCCTGATATTGCTACATGATGATGGCGAAACCTTAAAATCACTACAAGAAGTGACGATCCCAGGCTAAAACCAGGTAGTAGATGTTGGTTCAGCTTCTTACCCTGATACTCATGAGAACAATTGAACACCAGACGTGACTTTTCATTATGTGTCACAACATGGTGAGGAACGTACCAAGATTCCTCGGATGTTTCAGATTCTTCCTGGGAGAGAGTTCTCACAAGTCCATCTTCTGTTAGTTTATTGATCAGTTGGTTTTGAATGGTAGCTTTCTCTGGATCCTTTCGGTAACCTCTCTCAGTTCTCTTCATCATAGGAATTACTGACTCTGGGCCAGCCTTGAATTTGATATCACTACTATCACGAAGGAGTGGTACTACAGGTACTATCCTCTCTACACCCTCAACTGACTTACGGCAGGTAAGACTTTCTAAGATTGCAATGGCCTGTTTATCTTGTCTGGACCTTGTTGCTTGTCTGGTTGCTGGTAGTACATCGACTTTACACAACCTTTCCACATCGTCCTTCAGACTTTGGTCACATGATATATACATCATGGCATTAGGAGCATGTTTTGAAGAAGAGTCGTGGGACCTTGTAAACACCAACCAAGCGCTGTTTTCACCACAACGGGTGCAGGTTCATTTCCGGAACGAATGGTGTCTTCTCTGTGTATGGCGACTATTTCATGTGGTAGTACCAGGTGGACATGATCCGATCCTAACAGTATTAGTGGTTTAACCTGGTTGATTTCTGGAAGCGGTATGTGATTGAGGTGTATTTCTGTTTGAGCTCTGTAATTGGGTACGAGTAGTAGACATGTTCAGGTTGGCGCTGTAAAGGTATCATCCAGATTATATCTTTCCTTCGTCTCTCCTCTAGCTGATACCTGCAAGTTCAACTTTCTACATTGACATGTTGTTTTATCTCCCTTAATTGTGGCCAATACTATCTCATCCTGCACACCTGATTGGTTCAGCATTGCTACTGCCTCAGACAACACAACAATGGTTCTCATACATCCGTCATCCAGTAATGCATATGTATCCAACTGAGTTGTGGCACTGTAGAGGGTGACCGGCAGGATTTTTAAGAATACATCCTGTGATACACGTTGTCGATCTACATAATGAACAGTGGATTCAGGCAGCAATGAATTATGTAATACAGTAAGGTGTAACTGGTCACACAACTTGCATGGTTTCTTCATGGTACAGGCTGCTTCGTTATGTTTTCTTCCACATCTCGCACATCTATTGTTATTCTTTACCCATCTTCTAATGGCTTCTGTTTCCAACTCCCTGAAGTCCTTGCAGCTACCTAAGAAATGATCGACTCCATTACAGTACGGACAAAATATCTTCGGGGGTCTATTAGCCGATGTTCCATTCAAACCTTTCAGCCTGGATTCCTTTACTAGATTAACAGGAGTTGGTTTCGTCCTTGGTTTCTGGTACTTGGTTTGCTTTGGACGGCTTAAATATCCAAAAACTGGATCGTTCACCTCTGTCGCAGCCGCATCGACGAATGACATAATCAGCTTGATTGTAGGTCTGTCACCTTTGTCTTTAATGCGCTGATTTTCTCTAGACCAGCGGAGCTGTAGAAATCTTGGTAGTTTATTTACAATAATCTGTAACCCTTGTTGGTTGTCCAGTTCATTTGAATATCCTAGGGCCTGTGTTGTCTCCACACAATTGTGTAGATCATCAGCAAATTTTCGAAGAGTTTCAGTCTCTACTTTGGGGTTGGCTTTAATCTTTTGGATCCAGTGCTGGACAATTGTACCCCGATTACCGTATCTCTCATGTAGTATGTGGCAAGCATCTTTTTAACCCATCGCAGTGGGCTGGATGGCACAGCACTGAATTGCACTGTACGATTCACCTTTGCAGTGACGAAGTAGGTAGACTAATTTAATCTTATCCTCCTCGCCTTCCATTAGGCTGTAATAAACGGAAAGTATTGCAATCTATCACCGGTGAATTCAGCAAGTTCTGCAAGGAATGGCAAGAACCTGAGTGAATTATTGAGGGAGGAAGCAGCAGACATAGACATTGAAGTATCATGAGCTTGAGACTTTGTGACTGCATTATTACTAACATTGGCTATTGGGGGACACCCCATTCACTACCCACGTCGTGCGTTTCGACATTATCAGAATTAGGATCAGGGTTGACATTATCTTCGGTATTATCTACTGAGTTTGCCTCATGAATGTTTGCAGAATTATCTATCAGTTCTAAATCATTCAACAGCTTCTCTATTTGTGAGAATACCGTAATAAATTGGCTCTGGCAATTCCTCATCCATTCCTCTTCCTCTTGGTACTCTTCATCATCGTCTACTACGCTCACCAATTCTGTATGTTTATCTTCTACAGTACTGAAAAAGCCTTTCAAAGACTGCAACTTTTACACTCCATCAGGTTTGGCTCCGGCTCCGGCTCGAGGGACCATGTTAAGAAGTGAGTACAAAGGCTGGTTCAACAGTTCCAATCAATATTTAATGTTCAAATGGTAACGTAAACAATGATCACAATCAATGTAATTCCAGAGTACTACAGGTTAACAATCAGGATTTATGGTAAACACTATACTGGCTATGCAGGTCGTAGTTACAGTAGCACATTTGCGGTACGATGGTTGATAATATATCGGATGATGGTAGATATGGTTATTGGGATGTGATGCTGATGATGATGATGATGGTGGTGGTTTCTTTTCATTAACTCATCAATTTTGGTAGTGGTTGTCGGAAGTTTCTGTCATCACAACAAGTTTGAGGGCGCACAACATAAATCATTAACAAGAAAGGTACTGGCAGTTCGTAACAATTGTGAATTTTTTTAACAAAGAAATGTCAAGATCTTTTAGACAAGTGAATCGGTTAAGTGGTTATTTTTCTATGAATAATTAACCACGCCGAAGTGGCCTTGATTCTGTCACAAATTAAGTTTTTAGATGGCAACAACAAATCAAACAATTTTAAACTTAAAAGTGACGGAACTTTAATGTACTTTAAAAATATGATTTAAAGTACTTTTAGAAAAAGTATTAATTCAGCTACAATAAACCGTTTTAGAAAAATTGATCCGATTTTTTGATCAAAGATATTGCTAAAAAAAAAACCCCATTAAAAGTCATCTAATTTTTGGACCATATTGGTGAATATAACCGGAAATCTCTGCGCGTTGCTTAAGTTGTGCCTACGAATTGATATGTATAATTTGTATCATATTATTCAATACTGTTATGTATTACAGTATGAACCTTAGGTCTATTAAACTTGCCTGTTTGTCTCATGACAAGAGATCTACACCTGTTAACAAAATGATTGAGTTTGTGACACTTAGTACAAACTGTATGCAGGACATTTAATTATTTCGTGATCTCTACCACAATATGTACATTGTTTTACAATATCTTTACTGTTAGGCCTATGTGATACATGTTTACGTTACCATCACTATCTGTACTCGTACTTTATGCAATATCTGCTTGCTCTCTTCCTCGTACTAACAGTAGGATGCCATGTTATGTTCATCCTTTTCCATAAGCTCTCTTCGAAATTTATCTGAAGCACATCCAGCTAATATCTGGGTCTTAATTTCTCTTCCAATATCAGAAACATCACATTTAACTGCTTGTTGGTGCAACCTGGTATAATAATCTTACATAAGTTCAACCCTGTTTTGCAGGAGCCTTCTAAAAACCAATGATTCGTAATCTTTATTATATAGAGGACTGAAATTCTTTATTTCGTCATAACTCGTCGTAGTACTAGCGCTGCTTGTACTGCTCGACCCCGACCTGCTTGAAGACGCGCTTGGTTGTGACGTCACTGCTGCCCTAGCCATCTGTCGCGGCAGTGCTAGGCCTAAAAGTAGGCTGTTTTAATAGAACATCTACTTCGTCCCTGGTGATCTGGGCCTCCATGAAATAATAATAGTGCTTTCTTCCTATTATCATTGCTTTTGTTATTCGCTATTATGCCAATCTCAAAATGCCTTATCCATCTGTCCCATCGTTGGGGACGATCAGGCCTATGGACGTTGAACTGTGCTATGTTCATCGTTGCTGTGCTATTCAACATGGCTTCAGTGGTACTCTCTTCGTGGTAGAACTTTGCTCTTCGAAATCTGAGATTTGTCTTACTATTATTTTTTCTGCCATTAGGATTATCCTCGTCGCCAATGTCATGTTGTATGATCTGTAGTATATGTAACTACGCATACTTTGTACAAAACATTATCATCATGATATGGTTCTCTGTCCT